TCTCTGACTTTTAAGGCTCCCAGCTAGTTTTTTGCTACTTGAAGATTGATAAACATTTCCTCCACCTCTTTGTCTAGGTCAGAGGTGGGAAATTATGGCCCCTTTATGACTTGTGGACTTCAACACCCAGAATTCCTGAGCCAGCATGGAATTCTGGGAGCTGAAGTCAACAAACCATAAAGGGGACATATCATATTTTTTGGAGTATAAGCACCAGAGTATAAGATGCAGCTTAGTTTTGGGGGAGGAAAATAGGGGGGAAAAATCTGCCTACCAGGTATTCATCTGGGTAGTGTCCTTAGTCTGGTCAGCTTCAGCACATTAGTTCACTGGTTTTGAGCATGCTTGCGCTTGGGGATAAAAAATTGCTTCTAAAGCACAGCTGATCTTTGGAGAGAGAAGCAATGAAAAAAACAAGCGCGGAAGATTGCTTCACTCACTAGCGCCTCATTAGGGATGAAAAACAGCTTCTAAAGCACAGCTGAGAGGGAGCAGCAATGAGAAAAGCAGGCAAAGCACGAAAGATCGCTTCACTCGCTAACGCCTCACTAGGGCTGAAAAAAAAGCTTCTAAAGCACAGCTGAGCTTCAGAGGGAGCAGCCCAGAAGAATGCTTCACTCGCTAGTGCCTCGTTAGGGCTGAAAAAAAGCTTTGAAAAAGCTACATTCAGAGTATAAGACGCACCCAAATTTTCAGCCTATTTTACGGGGGGGGGGAGTGCATTTTATACTCCAAAAAATACGGTAATTCGCCACCCCAGACAATAGAAAAAAAAAGATTTTGAGATTGAAGACAGCTTTGTAGCACCACATTGGAAGCTTCACTCCAGTTTTATAAGGAATCATTGGTAGACAACAATTTCTATGTGATTCTCACACTTTCCCCTTTGTGAATGTTTTCAAAGTATAGGAAACTTATTTCTTCCACCTGAAATCAGGTGCCGTGTGAGATCAGATGGCATGACTCATACATCAAAGCTCTTTTTTTTTTAACAAAACATTTTAAGAGCAGTTACTTGTTAGGGAAATTCCATGTAGAAATTACAACACACAGCTCTGAATCTGTTTGAGGTCAGGCCATGAGTCTATCACAACCCACAGAGCTGTAGTTCACTACACAAGGGAAATACATGCAATGCAGAGTAAAAAAGGGTATTTCTATTTTGTGGTTGTCTAGAGAAATATTAACCTAAGACATAAGAAAAATCAAGTGTGCTAGAACTCTGTTTTACAAGAGGCTTAATCAGTGCCCATTTATAATACATTATCACAACCATCAAGAAAGGAGAAGGAACCCTTACAATTTCCTGTGGGAATATCCTTGAGAAACAAGATGAGGAAAAGCTGCAGCCAGGGCAATAATCAGATAAGAGACATCTCAGCCAGTGGTGGATTGCCCCCGGTTCGGACTGGTTCGCAAGAACTGGTAGTAAAACCGGTGGGAGACCCCACCCACCGTCCCGGATGTCATCATCAGCAATCTGTGCATGCGCAGAAGTAAGGTGTGCATGTGATCCTATTGTGAACCAGTGATAAAGTTAAGTAGAATCCACCCTGATCTCAGCCCACAGAAGTAATAGAAGCATCTTAGAAGGGATTCTCTCTAGTTGCCTGGAAAGATAAGGGGACAGAGATGTGCTTCCAGACTTGCACGATTCTGTTGACTCTTTTGATTAAAGAAAAGAATACAATTAAGTTTGTTTCCACTTGGAAACCATTTTTGGACTTTGTGCTTGAGCTGGGAAAAAAAAGAAACTTTGATTTTGGGTTTTGCTGACTAGATAGGTTTGTTGTTACAGAAATGGCTAGTATATAGCAATAGCAATAGCACTTAGACTTATATACCGCTTCAAAGTTCTTTACAGCCCTCTCTAACTGGTTTTACAGAATCAGCATATTGCCCCCAACAATCTGGGTCCTCATTTTACTGACCTCGGAAGGATGGAAGGCTGAGTCATCCTTGAGCCAGTGAGAATCGAACTGCTGGCGATTGGCAGAATTAAGCTGCAAGTCTATATTTCAATTTCAGTAGCTGCTATGGGAAGGACTTTAACTCTTTTTATTTCTCAGAATGCCTTTCTGAGCATTTATATAGCTGTGAAGATTTTATACATAGGTCAAATACAACATCTGCTTAGTATGTGTTTGCTCAACATGTTTAACCAAGTCATTAACTAACGTAATGGCTATATTTGTTCAACATGCTAAACCTGGTTAGTTTTTATGTGTGCTAGATTTTTCTTTTCTTTTCTTCTTTTTTTTGCAGTTTCACGTGGGGTGCAAGCCCCAGGCTAGTTTATTCTTCAATATGTTGTGCAACCTAGAAAACAGGTTACTTGTGAAACCAGATTAAGCATGTTGTGTCAGCCCAACCATAATGTGATCCCATCTGCTGAGGTATACATTTCAAGACATTCTGATAGCAACAGCAATAGCACTTAGACTTATATACCACTTCACAGTTCTTTACATTCCTCTCTAAGCGGTTTTACAGAGACAGCATATTGCTCCCAACAATCTGGGTCCTAATTTTATTGACCTCAGAAGGATGGAAGGCTGAGTCATTCTTGAGCCAGTGAGAATCAAACTATTGGCAGTTGGCAGAATTAGCCTATAATACTGCATTCTAAACTACACCCAGAGGTGCAATTCAGCAGGTACTGACAGGTTCTGAAGAACTGGTAGTGGAAATTTTGAGTAGTTAGGAGAACCAGCAAATACCACCTCTGGCTGGACCCCGAGTGGGGTGGGAATGGAGATTTTGCAATATCCCAAGCCATGCCCACCAACCCACGCCCACAGAACCAATACTAAAGAAATTTGAATTCCACCACTGACTACACCACATAATATAAACTTATGTTATTACCTTATTCTACTGCACAAAGGGAGTTGGAAGTCGAAGCTTTCCCTTTTTCTTTTCTCCTATATCCTAAACTGCTTCCTCTTTCCCCATTTCCTCCCATTTACCCATTATTTTCATTTTTCTTTGTATTTCTGCATTTTATATTTTGATCAACTATTAAAACACTTAAACCCAGACTTGCAATGTTCTGTTCTTCTAACCTTACAATAAAGTTGCATTAGAACTCATAGTTTTGGTTTCTTATCTGGACTACTCTGATGCACTGGCAACCTGTGAGAAATATTTAAATATAAACAGCAATAATATATACACCAAAATTTAGTTTCCACAGATAAATGTATGCTAAAGTATGGTCAATTCTCCAGCTACAGTGGAGAGAGGAGTGAAAAGGCTTGTGAGTTTAGACTCTTTGCATGGCTGAGTCAACCTTGAGCTGGTGAGAATTGAACTTCTGACAGTTGGCAGAATTAGCCTGCAATACTGCCTTTTAACCACTGTGCCACCACAGCTCTACATTCATTCATTTTTCTTAATATTTCACACAGTTATAGAATTCTCTCTGTGCAGAGCCTACCATGGCACCAAACAAAACTATACAAAAGTAAACATTTCAACAGCAGGAACTGGAAGTAAAGACAACAATTTCTTCAATAAAAATAGTTTTATTTTTAAAATGAGATATTTAAAATGCATGAAGTAGATGGATAATTTCACAAATGGTACTGTTGTGGTCCACCAGCAGCCTGCAGAGCTGGCAGCGGAGTCGGACAGTGAGGAGGCTGGGGAGGACCATGGGTCAGTCCTGGAGTCTGGGAAAGGCCCAGACGAGGGCTCTGCATCGGAGGCAGAGATGGGGCCAGGGTCATCTGGGAGTGATGCGTGGACTCCGGAGCCTCCAGTGTCTGACAGCAGACAGGCAGAGGAACAGGAGGAGTCTGTTCCTAGCGCACGCATGTGCAGAGCTGCCAGAAGGCAAGAGTAGCTAAAGCAAAAGGGACAACTCAGGAGTAAGGCCAAGACATGACTGGCCCCTCCCATAAGGCTTAAAAAAGCAGCAATGGCTCTTGGGCTCTTTGTAGGAAAGCAACATTGCTAAATCTGTTTCTTTCTCTCTTTTTTTATTTTAAAAACAAAACTCTATTAAACATATAAAAAGTAAAATGTTAGCTAAATCTGTTTCCAATCGGTGTCTCTTGTTTCTGAACTTCGTGGGACTTCGCCAAGAAAGGCCTTTGGCAGGTTGCCAAAGAAGATAAAGATTTGTGATAAGCCCGAAGGACTTTTTCTGAAGTAATGACCTTTTTATTTCATCAAGTTGGGCTGGCCTAATCTCTCCAATTGTGTATTTTAATTTGGATTTTTAATGGGGGATTTTAACAAATTGTTTAATTATTTTTAAATTGTTTTTAAATTTTGTATTTGATGTTTTTTACTTCTGGCTGTTCACCGCCCTGAGTCCTTTGGGAGAAGGGCAGTATATAAATTTAAATATTAAATTAAATTAATTAAATTAAGTGAGCCTAGGTCACAACAGGTACCATCTGCAGAGAAAGCATTCTATAAGGAGGAAGCAGAGCTTTTTCAAGTTGAGCTCAACTGTTGTTGACTTCATGAACATAACCATGTTTAGCAACAGTACAAAACCAGGTTACAATTGCCCTTTTGCTGGATTTCTTGAACTTCCTAGTTTAGTCTACATCAGTGTTTCTTAAGTTGTAGTCTGTGGACCTCTTGTGACGTCATCACAGGGGATCTGCGAAGCCTTGAGGAAATGTCCTGATTTAAATCTTGATTAAGTTTTGGGGTTCTGTGGCCATGGTCCATGGCCACAAAAGATATTTAAAAGGGCTCCGTGGTGAAGAAAAGATTGAGAACCATGGTTACATCAGGGTCTCCAACTTTGGCATCTTTAAACCAGACTTCAAAGCTGGCTGAAGAATTCTGGGAGTTGAAGTCCACCAAGCTTAAAGTTGCCAAGGTTGGAGGCCCATTATTGAGTTCTTCTATCTTTGTACATCGATTCTGAGTCCGGATGTGGTACTGAAATCAGATGCTGCCACTTGCTGAAACATGATCAATGTGCCACCAGCAAAAATTTTGTAGTGATTGTTTTGTTTGCTTATACACCACATGTCCTACTTTACTTGAAAGGAGTCCTTCACAAATTGTATAATGTCTTGCGTTCTTGTAAAGTAGTGATACTGCAATTGACAAAGAACTCATGAAGTAGCATAGTGTAATTTTTGAAGGACGTTTATCAGGAACATTGCTGTATCAACTAGTCCTGTTACTGATGTTATGCATGCCGAAATATGCCATGTCAACATAGACAGTCCAATCTGATCACATAGTGACATCTGGAAAACAAAACAAAAGTTGTTCTTTTCAGATAGAGGGCTGAAAAAAATGGGAATGTGAGATCCGTTCCCAAGAGAATCATCTGTTGAATCAGTTCTACTACATAAGAATAGCAGAGTTGCTTGATTATGAAACGGATGTCATATAAATTTTAATAAATTTTAAAAACTAACACAACTGTGATTTTTATCTGAAAAGACACACTTTGATGAGCATTTTAAAGATTACCTCTTTTAATCTTCTAGCTGGCAGCATTTTCTCTTGATTATTTGATTAATTCTATCAACTGCATCATAAAATTTAAGTTCTCCCAGACTGTTGATTAAAGTCTGACAAGAACCTTTTATCCCATGGGTTTCGTGCCAACGCTCCAGTAATTTTATTTTTTGTTCAGAAGAATCATGAAAATTGTCATGGGCGATTTCATCTATTTCAGCCGAAGAAATACCCAATTTCCGAACCAGCTTTCTGACTTGGTTCACTTCCATATCACGTACAATTTCAGGAATGTAAGGCTTCAAGTTAATATCTGCGAAGGAAAATAAGAAAAAACTGCATGCAATTATAAGAATCAATGATGTATAAATGACGCAATGATGGGTAAAGAACATAGTCTTCAGTCAATTTTAAGTGTGATCCATAGACTTAACAAAGTGAAAAGACATCACCCTAACAACCAAGATATATATGGCTATATATTTAATTAAATTTAAACAAACATGGTTCCCAAACATAGAATGTATCATGCAGCATAGCCAATATAATCTCTTACAGTTTAGCTTCTGAGGGGGTTCTAAATGCTTACAAATATTGCAAATCAGCAGACATAGAAAAAGGAGAAGTTAGAAACATATTCAGTTTTTTTTTAATTTTCTCCTTTTGCAACTTGTGGCATTTTAATCCTTGTTAAATTTGGTCTATTATTCTATTTTTCTTTTTTATTAACATGTAGTACACACATGCACGCATGGAGAGAGAGATAGAGAGAATGTACATAAAGTATAAATACAGTGGAGACTTTAATATTAATTAATATTAAAACTTGTATACATAACAAGCACTTTTGGGGCATGGAAGAAGGGATATATTGTCAAGGCCACGATTTTCGCAGCTATAACATATAGCTGTTGAAAGTAGACCATGAGAAAATACGAACAACAGTAACAACAAGAAAGCTAATGATGGAGAAAATGGCTAATAAAGCTATAAAACAAAAGCTTAAATATTTTGCAAAAACCTAATGCAAAGGCAAGAATTATCAGAGAAGATTTCAAAGGCAGTTTTTTAAATGGCCAACAAAAAACAGTAGCTAGATACTGTCACTGAGGGCTGAAGAATGAGCTGACAAGAATTCAAAGCAGTTCCTGACAGAACTACTCTTGAAATAATGTTTATCAGGTAACGAAGTATTAGAGGCAACTGAATAATAGAATATTTATAGCAAAGGCCTAGATCAGGGGTCTCCAACCTTAGCAGCTTTGCTGGCTGGGGAATTCTGGGAGTTGAAGTCCACCAGGTTTAAAGTTGCCAAGATTGAAGACCCCTGGCCTAGATACAGCATTCCTATATGTTTAATGAATAACATTGTGCAAGATTACAAGCATAAAGAAAGCTACATTGGATAGGGCTTTCTGTGCAGGTTTCTTTCTAGATCTGATCTGGAAATGAGAATAGCATTTAGCAAGACAATGTCAGTGAAAGAAGAGAAAATTATGGTAATCTTAGCTGAGCTGCAAAATTAGAAGCTGCATGTGGTTCATACATTGCTCAGTGGGATAGTTGAGAGGAAGCAAATGCTTTATCTGGAGCAAATTCTAGAGCCCAGAATATTAAGAATACAAGCCATGTCCAGGGAAGAACTGCAATGTCAAATTTAGCAAGCGGGCCAATTCATTTAGGGTTAGGAAGGACTTCTCCCTTGAGATCATCTGGTCCCAAATTGTAAATTACAGTACATTAGAAGGTCATTACAAGCCATGGATTAATTGAATTTAGAAAGAAAGTGGAAACCAATTCAATGCTTGGAATTATTTGCCTCTATCAAGCTAGAATAGTACAACTTGGATTGCGAAAAAATCAATAGAATCATGAGGTTCCAGCAAAGCATTAACTAGACCTTACTAGTCAAGGCAAGGGGGACCAATAACCCAATTACTACATTTTGTATCAATGAAAGACCATTCAGTACAGAGCAAATGTTAATAGAATAGAATAGAATAGAATAGAATAGAATAGAATAGAATAGAATAGAACAGGAGCACAATGCAACACCCCACAACCCAACCCAACACAACGCAATACAACGCAACACAATGCAACGCAACGCAACGCAACACAACACAACACAATATTTTATTTGCCCAAATGTGATTAGACACACAAGGATTTGTCTCTGGTGTAGAAGCTCTCAGTGTGCATGCAAAGCAACAGGTGGAATGACATAACTGAGCTGTTATTATAGCCCAATAAAGCCCAAGCATAAAAGCATATAAACATTATATATATATATATATACACATACATAAATATAAATATATATAAACAAATAGTGCAATGATTGTGTTTTAGTTTTTTACGCACCTGGACACTTAATTTTCTTAAGTTCCTAAAAGGAAACAATTAAAAAAAAGATGAACCAAACCCACACCACCAAGCCTTGCTTCCTTTTTATTTCCCAATATTTAATTTTTATTAAAACTTTTAAACCAGAAAATTAAAGCTAACACGAAGTAATAGAAAGTCAAGAAGAAGAAAGAAGAAGTCAAAGAAAAGGGAAAAGGTACAAGAAAGGGGAGGGGGGAAGGTTAAAGAAAAACAGAAAAGAAAGGAATACAAAGAAGTGACTTCCAATATTCTTAGTGCAAATTCTGTAAAGCAAATGCCCCTTTTTTATTAGTACTAGGCAAAATATACTATTTTGCTCCCAAACTGTGAAGTGTCATATCGTATCTAAAGAACTCCTCAGCAAAAGCAGCATATATTGATTCAATTTGATCTTACTCTTTGCAATTAAGCCTGGCTCCTGATGTAATCAAATATTAACAAATAAGGGGTGGCTCTGAATTCACAGGAAATTGAAAACATTTAACAATTATACTTCATTCCGATCCATTTCTTTGGATTTCTACATGTGTGTTTATTGGCTTGGACCCATTATGTTCAACCAATGACTTCTTCTCTTTTTAATCAAATTAATTTTCAATTTGTGGTGAAGAAAGTAAATAAACAACAAGAATCTCTACAGACTGGAACAATTTATTGAAACAAAGTATTGGTCTATATTCAGGAATATTTTAAAGTCACAACTGTCCCAGCAGAGACAAAATGTCTGAAGTTAACAACTCTATTTTGTTTTCTGGCATTCTAGTTTATGCATGCATATGCCTCTTATTAGTAAATGAGGTTACTAATGCATATGTAAATGAGAAATAAAATACAAAACGGTCTTAAAAAGTCACGTCATTGAACGAAACAAGTGGCAAAGTTAAAAAAAATCAAATTCAGTGCCCAAATAAATAAATACAATAATAGTAGATTCAGTATGTAATTCTAAATTTCCTCAATGTCTGACAGAACCCATTCTTTTCGTGGCAAAGAAAAGAGTATTACAATTTTGGGGTATCTGTGTGGATCCATATTATATTTATGGGGCAGACTTCGATAGCACGGTCATGGCCACAATTTTCATTTTTTGACCTTCCAGTAGATGTCCCCACACAGATGGTCATCTCTACCAAGTGGGATCCTTACCTCAAGGATCAGAAAGGACAACTGGACAAAGCCCCCTCCCCAAACCATTGGGCAATTTAAAGATAAGAAACACAAGGAAGCATTAGAGTGGAAAAATACCATTACTATCATTAGGAGCTATACAGAAGCTAGTATGTACTTGTTGGTTCAATGTCTTAGGTTACTCTCTATCACCCTTCTTAGTTCTCTGGATTACTTCAGAAAAGGAGACTCACTATGAATCCATAGTTAGGGCCGTTTTGATTTGGAATGTTTGGCCTCCTTTGAATTCTGTGCTCTGGACCTACAAAGGAACACAAATAATTATTTGCTAGGCAGTCTTCAAATAACCAGAAATGGCATATTAGGAATGTGCTTATTCTAAGTGTGAAATGCAGTAATTTCATGTAAAATTTCTGGAATTTGTGATGACTGGAGTTCTTAAACTTACTTTTAATTTACTTAATTTAATTTAATTTAATTTCCAATTTATATACCGCCCTTCTCCCTGAGGACTCAGGGCGGTGTACAGCCAAGATAAAAAACATAGAATACAAATATTAAAAAACATTGAAAAATATATAAAATTTTGGCCCAAAAGTTAAGAAATCACAGACTGATTAAAAGAATTTAAAAATTTCTTCTTAAGGCAACCTGGCTTGCTGGAAAAGATGGGTTTTAAGGGAACGACGGAAGGCATTGAGGTCATGGATTCTCCTTATCTCCGGGAGCAACTGATTCCAGAGGGTGGGAGCCCCGACCGAGAAGGCCCTCCCCCTGGGGGTCACCAGCCTACATTGAGGAGGCCCTCTCTGTGGGAGCGCACAGGTCGCTGGGAGGTCGTCGGTAGCAGCAGGCGGTTTCGCAGATAGCTAGGCCCTATGCCATGGAGCGCTTTAAAGGTGATAACCAACACCTTGAAGCGCACCCGGAAGACCACTGGGAGCCAGTGCAGCTCGCGCAGGAGCGGTGTTACATGGGAGCGCCATGTTGTTCCCATCACTACCCGCGCTGCTGCATTCTGGACCAGCTGGAGCCTCCGGGTGCTCTTCAAGGGGAGCCCCATGTAGAGAGTATTGCAGTAGTCAAGGCGAGAGGTGACGAGGGCGTGAGTGACTGTGCACAAGAAATCCCGATCGAGAAAGGGCCGCAACTGGCGAATCAGGCGAACCTGATAAAAGGTCCCCCTGGTAACAGCCGTCAGATGTTCCTCCAAGGACAGCTGCCTATCCAGGAGGACTCCCAGATTGCGAGCCCTTTCAGTGGGGTCCAAAGACTCGCCCCCAATAGTCAGTGATGGAGTCAACTTCAGTTTGCCACCTTAAAATGGCAGGATGCTCAAAAGAGCTGTTGGGAGAGGCACCCAAACATTGAAGTGAGATGGTGTGTATGGCACGGGGATTGCAAGTTGCCAATGCCTGACAAGGAGCTTATGGCTGACTCCCATTTTTTAGGGATGTTGTCTGTGTCTAATTCCATCTTTTATTTAATGTGCAAGCTACAAAAATCTGGTTGGTGTGCCTTGTGACAATAATGGTATACAAACATGAGAACTGGTAGAAGAGGATCAACAAGTATCTGGCCCAACTTTTACCTTCAAGCAAATATTGACGTTGTCATGCCCCAGCATATAACCTTTATATACTGTTGCTACTCTCTAGCCCCATCTAGTGGCCGGAGGGATAAATATGCCCAAACATACCATCTTTATATACTGTTATTGTGCTCTAGCCCCATCTAGTGGCCAGAGAGACAAATATCAAGTATATTGTTTAAAGTTGACCCAACCCCATTACCCATCAGCTCGCACTCCCAAAACAAGTGCATTTGGAGAGGGCAGAAGCACAAAGAAGAATCCATCTTAATCTGTGGCACATGGTCATCCAAGGACAAACCCACATCCCACACACAGAGCATCGCTGGTGAGATTTAGATTGCTTTCTTATTAATTGTTATGTTCAGCAGTAACCGAATACTGTCTATCTTGTATTTGGTTCTCATTGTGTGTATCCCTATTTTCCCCAGTTTCACCATATCCTGTTCTTTCAATAAAGCATTCAGATCTACGCACAAGGTCTGCTTTATTGGAGGATAGGTGGGTTTAGTTGCATGTCGAGCTGCACACAGACTAAGGTGTAGTGAGGACAGAACAGATGGTGTCAGCTGCCACAGTACACATGCTAGTGTACTTTGCTACAGTGACAGTCTGCCATGAACTCTGGCGAGAGTGGATGGGAGGGGAAATGCTCGTGGGAAAGAGAAAGTAACTTCTGTATCTCCCCGAGACACTGCTTCAAAGTCACCCGGCTGGGAGAAGAAGTCAGCTACATACCAATTTATGCTTGACCATTCTGAAAACATCTTGCTTGAACCTGATTGATCATGGGAGGATCAACAATGGGAGGCAGTTAAGGGAGGCAATTTTTGAACTTAGGGATTTTGGCATGCAAGTCTCAGTTATGGCATTACTGCAGTACACTTGACTTCTAATAAAATTATACCTTTCTCAACAAATGGGAGTCAAGGATCATTTCTGTTTAAAGAGTTAAATACGGGCAGGACAGATGGTTCAAATGCTGTCAGGATAAATCTTCCCATTTTGGATGCATTCCATAAGGGGCCATAATTTTAAATTGGGTGATGCCAAAGGTTAGGATAAAGTGAGCAGACAATATTCTTGGATTCCCTTCAATTTGCTGTCCAATTTTTCTCTATCTCAAAGAAGAACCCTGATTTCCAAAATTGTTGAAAGAGGACACAATTGGATTTTAAATGTAGGATGAAAACTTTGGGAGATAGTTCTTCCTCTGCATACTTGACTTAAAAAAAAAAATAAAGTTTATACTGCAGTTTTTAAAGGAAAGTGATATCAACTTACAACAGCGCCACCATAAAATCAGTCCCACAATCAATGCGACAACAGGCAGAATAAGCCAAAGCCATTGCAAATGGTCTGTGAAGAAGAATATTTAATAACATCACATTTTCCAATCCATATGGGTCAATTTGCAGACTTTTGAATCTGTTCTGTTAAACAAAGCAACAAATGAAATGCTAAAAATGGAAACAGAAACCACATCTGGTAGAATTGTAAACATTCCTTTGAATGAAACAGAATCAAACAGAATACAGGTAGTCCTTGACTTATGACCAGAATTTGGGGGAAGAATTTTTGTTGCTAAGCAAAAGGGTTGTTAAGTGAGTTGTGCTCAGTTTTATGTTTTGCTACCATTAAGCAAAATACTGAAGTTGTTAAGTGAATCATGCAGTCGTTAAGCAAATCCGGCTTCCCCCATTGACTTTGCTTGTTGGAAGCCATCTGGGAGGGTCACAAATGGCAATCATGTTAACCCGAGAGGCTGCAACCATCGTGAATGCATGCCAGTTGCCAAGAGCCCAAATTTTGATCATGTGACTGTGGGCATGTTATGCTGGTTGTAAGTGCGAGGACTGGTCATAAATCACTTTTTTCAGTTCTGTTGTAAGTTTGAATAGTCACTAAGTCAAGGTTGTAAATCAAGGACTACCTGTATAATTGATTGCCCATTTTATGCTACCATTTGAAACCATTAGCTTTTGCTAATCCCATGCTGATGCCCAATTATGTCCTGAACAGAGATATAGTAATAATAGTACGTGCTCTATAGGTAAGATCTCTTTTGAGTTGAACTAATTTTTGGTCCATTTTATGGACACATCCTACTATATACATTATAATGTTGCTCAAACTCTATAGACATACTCAAACTCTTCGGAAGATGAACCAAATTTAACAGTGATTCTTCCAAAGATTGGCCAAGTATCTGCAAAATCCAGATACTTACCGTATTTTCCGGCGTATAAGACGACTGGGCGCATAAGACGACCCCCGAATTTTCCTGTTAAAATATAGGGTTTGGGCTATACTCACCGTATAAGACTACCCCTCTTCCAACGCACACCAAATAAAAATTAAAAAAACATCAACTGGCTCACCCACAATGTAAAAGCAGCTGTGCTAGACCCAAATTGGCCCCTGAAACAAGCAGGAACCTCACACAGCCACAAAAAGCCCAAAAAAACAACTTTCACACTTTACACACACACAACACAACACAACACAACTGGCTCACCCACAATGTAAAAGCAGCTGTGCTAGACCCAAAATGGCCCCTGAAACAAGCAGGAACTTCACACAGCCACAAAAAGCCCAAAAACCCAACTTTCACACTTTACACACACAAAATTCTACATACAGCTTTGTGAGATTTTGTGTGTTTGTGTAGTTAGAGTGAAACACTAGAGTGAAATCTCAGAAAGCTGCACAAATATTATTTTATTTTATTTTTATTTTTATATGAAAGCTAAATTTAAAACTTCCTAAACTTTAAATGGCTAGGTCTAAAAAAGAACAACTAAAAAAAAAACCCAATTAACTATTTTTTTTAAAGATCCCAAAGGGAAAATGTGTTGTCGGCGCTCTCGTAGCATCATCAGTCAGCGCCAGCAACTCAGATTCGGGAAGCTGTGCTGATCTCGTCAAACCTGCATGCCACTCAATGCTGGAACCAGCTGCTTGCTGAGCGGAGCTTCCCCCAGGCATCCAGGGGGATATTACCGACGCTCCGACTTCCCCAGACAGGTGGGGCTCGCCATCACAGTGGGTCAGCTGGGGAAGTCGGAGCGTCGGTAATATCCCCCTGGATGCCTGGGATGGCGGGGGAAGCTCCGCGTAGCAATCAGCTGGGTCCAGCATTCAGCGGCATGCAGCCTTGACGAGATCGGCACAGCTTCCCCTCAATGTTGTCGGCGCTCCCATAGCGTCATCGGTCAGCGCCAGCAACTCAGATTCGGGTACCCGGCATATAAGACGACCCCCGACTTTTGAGGTGATTTTCCTGTGTTAAAAAGTTGTCTTATACGCCGGAAAATACGGTAGTGAAATCCAAATCAGTGAACATCACGAATATGGGTTTTCACCATTTTGAGGTAAGAACCTCATGGAAAGAATAATTTAACTCTTAAGATAGATTTTTAAATTGTTTCAAAAACAAGTGCTAGGTGAAAATTGTTTTGCTTCCATTCGATTCACCCTGGCTGAATATTGAGCAAAAATAATGAGGGGAGCAGATTTCTGCAATTGTCAATGGTCAGAAAAGAAATCAAAGGCAGGTGAGATGGGACTTGAACCTCAATAAATATTTATTTATGCAAAGTGCTATTCAACACTTACTGATATTCAAGAGTGGCTTTGATGCCTTCTGGGAAAGATTGATAAAAGACCCAGGCTTCCGTCCAAAGAGAAGAGGCAGCATAGACATTGATTAACATATTAATACCACTCTATAAAGCCTTAGTAAGACCACACCTAGAATATGCATACAGTTTTGGTCACAACACTATATAAAAAAGATGTTGAGACTCTAGAAAAAGTGCAGAGAAAAGCAACCAAGATGATTAGGCTAAAACATACGATGAATGGTTGCAGGAACTGGACATGGCTAGTCTAGTGAAGAGAAGGACCAGGGGAGACATGATAGCAGTGTTCCAGTATTTGAGGGGCACAGAGAGGAGGGGGTCAAGCTATTCTTCAAAGCACCTGAAGGCAAGGCAAGAAATAATTGATGGAAACTGAACAAAGAGAAATTCAACCTGGAAATAAGGAGAAATTTTCTGACAGTGAGAACAATCTCGTGACGGGGCGCTCCATGTGACACCTCTCCTGCGCGAGCTGCACTGGCTCCCGGTGGTCTTCCGGGTGCGCTTCAAGGTGTTGGTGACCACCTTTAAAGCGCTCCATGGCTTAGGGCCGGGGTATCTACGAGACCGCCTTCTGCCACCAATAGCCTCCCACCGGCCAGTACGCTCGCACAGAGAGGGCCTCCTCAGGGTGCCTCCGCCAGACAATGTCGGCTGGCGACCCTCAGGGGGAGAGCCTTCTCTGTGGCGGTGCCTGCCCTCTGGAACAACCTCCCCCCAGAGATACGCACAATACCAGACCTCCGGACTTTTCATCGGGCCCTGAAAACTTATTTATTTCATCTAGCCGGGCTGGCTTGATCCCACTGTTTCGGTTAAATTGAATTGATTTTAATTGGGTTGTTTAAAATTGTGGCCAAAAATATTTAATTATTTTTTAAACTGTTTTTAAATTTTGTATGTTCTGTTTTTATTCTGGCTGTTCACCGCCCTGAGTCCCGCTGGAGAAGGGTGTTATACAAATTAAAACAAATAAAACCAATAAATAATCACCCAATGGAACAGCTTGTCTTTGGAAGTTGTGGGAGCTTCATCACTGGAAGCTTTCAAGAAGAGACTAGACTACCATCTGTCAGAAATGGTGTAGGGTCTCTTGCTTGGGTGGGGGTTTGGACTAGAAGACCTACAAGGTCCCTTCCAACTCTGTTAATCTGTTAAACTGATTAATTCTGCCTTCTCCTCACTGCCTCTAAGGACATTCCAGGGGCCTTTTTTCAGAGCTGCCAGAAGTCTATCCAGCACCAGATTTAATCCAGCACAAGATTAGATCCAACCATGTTATTCAGTTTTAGAGACAGGCTGATTTTGGAGTCCACTACTTTCCTGGTCCCTTTTGCTGTCTAAAGTGGTAGATGAAATGGTAGATGAAGCGAAAGGAAGTCACAGCAGAGAAAAAGTTTTGGACAAACCGGCTATTAGAGCCTTGACGAACTGAAACGTGGCCTTGCATACATTCAAATCCGGTTCTTCCCATGGGCTTCAACAGGGAGGTATCAAATAAACTCAAGATGAAAGCTACATTCATTAATCAAAGACCCACCCCACTTTACACAGATCACAGAAAGAGATGGGGCTTCCATTGGGTAGTTGTGCTGTCATCTTGATTTTTTTTTTTTTACACCTCCTCAGTTACCCCTTGTATCCCTTCCTTTCTGGAGCATTAATCAAACCTAGTTCATTAACCAAATCCATAGTTACCTTTTGTGGTTTGCGTATCTTTTTCCCTACAAACCGTGTTTTGTGTTGGGGTGCATTCTTTTACAACGATGCCATTTTTACACCTGCAGATAAAAAGTTGATAATAATGAAAAGGTCCAATCAGAGAAAGCTTTTCATCCGATCAAGTTCCTCCTTCTTGAATTTTGGTGTATTCTACAATCCCTTTCGCCTTGATGGATCACACCAGGGTTGGGTTCTAAAATTTTTTACTACCGGTTCTGTGGGTGTGGCTTATTTTATGGGCATGGTTTGATGGTCATGTGACAATTCTTTAGGATTTAGCAGAGGTACTGGTCTACCAGGCTTTTAACTGCTTGCAGAGCTGTACCGGTCTACCCATTTGTTTTTGGAGGCACTGGTCTACTCATTTGTTTTTGGAGGCACCGGTCTACCAGGCACTGGTCTACTCATTTGTTTTTGGAGGCACTGGTCTACTCATTTGTTTTAGGTGGCACCAGTCTACCAGGCACCAGTCTACCCATTTGTTTTTGGAGGCAACAGTCTACTCATTTGTTTTTGGAGGCACCGGTCTACCACACACCGGTCTACTTATTTGTTTTTGGTGGTACCGGTATAACAGGCACCGGTCTACCCATTTGTTTTTGGAGGCACCGGTCTACTACCACCACACTGCCTTTTAACACTGATCAGCTGTAGGGCGGCCCTTTAAAGCCCCGCGGCAAGAGTTTAAATAGTTTTTTTTTCTTTCTAGCTGATCGGCTGAGGCTCGGGAGGCAGCAAATAGATTGGGGACGGGGCCAAATAAAAGGTAAGAATAACGCGGTGGCAGGCAGCTCCCAAACAAAGAGAACCGGTTCGGTGATGTCATATCGTCACCGCTACCGACTCGGTGGAACCAGGCCGAACTGGGAGGAACCCACCACTGGATCAAACTGGTGAGAGGTGCAATGAAACGCTTGCGGACAAGGAAGGTTCCCGCGATTTCCCACAATGCTTGGAGAGATATGTCAGAAGAAAAGAAAGTGAAGACTGTATACTGTGCTCTTTCTTTGCCTTCTCAGCTTTTTTTTTTTTTTTTAATGTTCTGGGCATCCAGCATCAATCTTAGGATTTGGCTTATCCTGTCCAATTGCTGATATGAGTCAAGAGATTTGGTGGTGTATAAATTCAATAAATAGATAAGTAGCATTTATTTATAAAAGTTACATCAGAGCCTTTGCCATAAAAAATGTTACATTTAAAAGGACAAGTAGGATGTTGCAACACTCAGAGAAGAGGCATGTGATAACCAAATATCCACCCATGTGTCAACCCATGACTCAGGCAATTAAAGACACTGAGCTTGTCAGCTGGAAAGCTGACAGTCCGGGTTTGAGACCCAAGTGCTGCACAATGAGGTGAGTTCCCATTACTTGCCCCAGCTTCTGCCCACCTAGCAGTTTCAAAGCATGAAAGTGCAAGTAGGAAATAAATAGGTTTCACTTTGGTAGGAAAGGAACAGCATTCCATGCCCCTCAGCATGTAAGCATGCTGGTTACATGATCACTGAAATTCTTCAGAAAATGCTGACTCCCTTAGCTAAGAAATGGAGATGAACACACAGAGAGACACACACACATGACTGGACAGGGGAAACCTTTACCTTTATATAAGGGATAAGATCAGATGACATATCTGGAATTTCCCAAAATGGAAACATTCCAGGTTTCATGTGATAAAAGAGGAAAAATTCAAATTATACCAATGGGAAAGCTTGACAGATTTTACAACGATATAGTTGAATTCGTACAATGACCAATATGAATCAGAAAATGTTCCAATTTGATTCAAAACTTCAAACTGAACCATTATATTGGTTCCATTCTGACTGCTGCATCAGTTTAGGAAAATATACCTTTGTGTCTGTGCAGAAGTGCCTCAGTAGAATCAGGGGTATCTCATTCAATCCATCAATTAGAATAAATTTTCCAGTTCAATTAGCTGGTTCATTTTAATAAAGTTGTCTTTCACTTTAATCTCCATCATAAATATTTGCACAGCCGTAGATATGGGTAATCCTTGATTTACGATCATTCATTTAATGATCCTAGGAAGTTACAATGGTGCTGATAAAACTGACTTATGACTGACTGGTCCTTGAACTTGGCTGTTCAGTGCCCCGTGGTCATGCAATCGAAATTTAGCAACCAGCATGTTTTTACGACAGTTGCAATGTCCTGGGGTCAAATGAACTCCATTTACAACCTTTTTAGAGAGCTTGTAACAGACAAAGCCAATGGGGGTAAACTGGATTTGCTTAACAATTTTGTGATTTGCTTAAGGATTTCAGCAAAAAGGGAATAACTCGCTGAATGTGAGCACTTAGAAATAGACATTTCAGTCATAATTGTGGCCATACGTGAGAACTACCTAAATAACCTTTTTTAAAACAACAACACAACAACCCAAAACCACAGACTCGCCTGAAATAGTAAAACACATGACACAAAAGTGAAATTAATTCTCAACCATAATGCGCCACCTGGTGTTTGTTAAGTTAGTGTGCATCTTCTGTTCCAGAGGTAATGACAGATTGAAGGAGGCATCTCCCAGCATCTTATAAAGCCTACTGTTCTTGGGGATTTAGAAAGAGATTAACATTTAAGATTTAGAGACAGTAGTTTTTAGAGAGAGAGGAGTTGGGGGGAGAGAAAGGCAATAGTGTTATATGGTAGAGTTGAAGAGTTACAAGACGGAGGAGTATTAGATGGTCTATTTTATACCATGTACATTAGTCTAATATAATAGAAGATGCTGAAGAAAAACCTAGTTAATCACCTTGTTGGAAATAGCAATAGCACTTAGACTTTACACTGCTTCATAGTGCTTTACAGCCCTCTCGAAGAAGTTTACAGAGTCAGCAATTGCACCCAACAATCTGGGTCCTCATTTTACCAACTTTGAAGGAAGGAAGGCTCAGTTAACCTTGAGCTGGTGAGAGTCGAACTGCTAAACTGCAGTCACCCGCAATCAGCAGAAGTAACCTACAATACGGCTCTACTTGCCCATAGAAATAGTAAGAAAAATACCTAGGGCCATCTATGTATCTTACAATCTTCCCATGTAGATAATACATATATTTGAGACTATAATAATTATAGAAAGTTATTTTTATATGACTATGGCTCAGTTGCCATACTTGACCTGCAAGTACATCTTAATGCTTCAAGCACTTAATTTTGTTCAGGATCTGATTTCTTGATAGAATTTTTTTCTGATACATGTTCATTTTTTTTTTACTACAGACAAAAATGATACCATATATATATATGTAAATATATGTAAATATATAATATTATTTATATAAAAATCTGCATCTAGCACACAGTCAATAAGGCAATTTAGGCCAGGGCAGTGCATGGCTGCATTCAAAGCATTCAGCTTTCAAAGTTGGGATTTTTTTTCCCTGCTTGTCAGAAGATAATAAGCCCTTATCTTCAAGGTCATGGTATTCTCTGTGGCCTCAAAATCATTACAGGTATTTCTCCTTTAATGAGGTTTAATTGAGACTGGAAACTCCATCCTTAAGCCACTTTGATGTAAGCTGAAAAACTACATGCTTTTTACAACGGCAGTTTTGGCAGTTCTGGTGGTCGTCATTAAATGAGAACCCCATGTGACTGTGACCTCCAATTTCTTTCTGACTTCCTCATTGACTTTGCTTATGGGGTGCCGCATAAAAAGTTGCAAATCACCTTTGCAGAGATGGCGAAGATTTCAGCATATCTAAAAGATCGGACTCAAGAGACTTATGTATGGGAGTGGAAGAAGTGAATAGATTATGTACAGAATAAATATCAAACTAGGAAATATCAGATAGCTTTTAGCTGAATGTATTACATAGGGATAGATTAACTGAATGTTATTTACGAAGAAATGAATAGCTCACAGGGGGTGGAATAGTTAGGGGTTATAGTATTATAAAATGTGATTTTGATTTGGATTTCATCTTGAGGAAGTCATGGGGGGTGGGGAGGGTTAGGGAGGGTTTTGGGGGGGGGAAACCGGGGGGAAAATGTATTTGTAAAACTTTTTAAATAAAATAAAAAAAAAGTTGCAAATCAGGATCATATGACTGTGGAAATACTGCAAAGGCCCTACGTGTGAGGCCTGGTTCTACAAATACTTGTTCAGCTTTGTTCTAAGTTTGAATAATTGCTAAAGGTGTGAATGTCAAAGTTCCTATCTCATCTGCTTCAGTCTGTGGAGATTCTCAGTCATCCAGGTCATAGTTGTCTCAAAGGTGCTTTTTTCAAAAGGTAACTGGACTGTTTTTTCCTTGAGGAAGAAGAAGATGTTTTGCTTCTCATCCAAGAAACTTCATCACTTCTGGCACAATGGTGCAGGCAATAGAAGGATAGATTCCAACAGGATGAGGTGGGGTTGGAAGGATCATATTTCTTTGCAGTCATCTGGTTGTTAGCACTCTCCCTGAGAGCTCTTGAGGCCATGTGGGGACTTATCTCTGTCCTCAAGGTCACCTATATCAGAGTGCAAATGGGGATGGAATCTTCTTGAAACTGCTGAAAGGACTAGAAGTATCCATCTCTCAACAGAGTGGAGGCATAAAACACCACCTGTCTATCCTGTCTACAACACCTCCTTTCAGCAGTTACAAGAAGGATTCCACCTAATCCTTCTCCCATCATCCTGCCAGAACCATTAATGCTTTTTGGATGAGAAGCTAAACATCTTCTTCTTCTTGAAGGAGGAAAAACAGCCCAGTGGCTTTTGAAAAAGCACCTTCGAGACATCTGATTGAGTTTCCTTACTATTTTCCTTTTGCTTTCTCCCTTCTAATGATTGTAGACAGCTGGAGGATTGACTAGAAGTGCCCCTCCCCATTTCTATTTCCTTGTCTGCTGTTGGTACTACCAAGGAATCTCCTGCCCCTTCCCCCTAAATATGTTTTAGCTTTTATAGCCCTCCCTCCTTCAGCCTGAGAAATGCAAGGGCTGAAGAAGATTTCCATCTCTTTGGAGGCTAGAGTTGCTTATATATTTCCTCTGGTATTTCTCCCTACCTCTTTCTGATCGAATAAGTTCCTTACTATCCTCACCGGATTGGACGGATGCTTCCCAATATCAACTAGAAGTATCCATCTTTCAACAGAGTGGAAGCATAAGACACCACCTGTCTATCCTGTCTATAACACCGTCCTGATGGAGAATAGCCAAATTTCCATTGATTCAGGAGGGGAAAAGAAGTGACTTAGAAATTAAACCCTAGGGGAGACCCACACTTATGGAATATGTGTGGGTGTAATGTGGATGTGACATGTCTATCTATCTATCACAGGAGTGTCAAACTGGACGCCCATGGGCCGGATGCGTCACATGCAGGCCACGCCCACCCCAGCTCCACTATGGGAAAAACGTCACAATACATCATGTGACGGCAACATGATAGCAATAGCAATAGCAATAGCACTTACACTTACATATTGCTTCATAGTGCTTTTATAGCCCTCTCTAAGCGGTTTACAGAGTCAGCATATTGCCCTCAACAATCTGGGTCCTCATTTTACCCACCTCGGAAGGATGGAAGGTGGAGTCAACCTTGAGCCAGTGAGATTTGAACTGCTGAACTGCAGCTAGCAGTCAGCTGAAGTACTGCACTCTAACGACTACTCCATCGGCTCTTGTGATTTGGCAAGTTTGACACCCATGATCTACCAGCTTGATTTCTGAGTTCTGTAATAAGAAATCTTTCCTGGACTTCTTGTTTGCAATAAAGCAATATAAAATGTGAACCTTCCAGGTAGGTTGAATTTCTGGGGAACAGAAATAAATTGTCACATCTGCACTGAATAATATGAGTATCTAGTTTTGTCACTCATAGTAGGTGTACTTACGGATCACATATCTCACAGTGGCGGCAAGGCTTAGTCGAATTGCAAAAGAAACCCATCATACACCTACATTTTACATTCTGTGTGATGGTACAATTTTTTTCAGGTTCCATTCCTAAAATAAATGGAAACATTTTGTTATTCAAATGTTGTTGTTGTTTTTTTAAAAAAATATCTCATTTTTAAATGCCTGCCAAGCTTTGAACACTAAGCATCCTCTCCAGGAAAATAATGCTGCTCTTCAAATACATGAGAGGATTTCAAATACGAAAGACAAAAGGTTGTTCTTTGCACTGCCACTGCCGTGTAAAATACACATTTGAGGAATAGGCGTTTGACAGAACATTCAGAGAAACTTTTAAATCAGAAGTACGTCACCCATAAAGCCAATCTCTACTTGAAAACAGGTCTGTGGTTGGAAAAATGAAGATCTTGTGAAAATCCTCTAACTCTGAACTTGCTTTATCAAACCAATTTTCGAATTGACAGGTTTTTTAAAAAAATTCTCAAGTCTGTACCAACCCTCAGTGACTCACGATTGTATATTTCTTTCCAGCTAGTATACATCAGGAAGTAAACATTCTTACATGTTTTTAAGTTGTATTCGGAACAGTCTATTTTGCTGAACAGGAACCTTGTTGGTGTTCATAGATATCTGCAGCTTGTGAGGGCCATAACTTAGGTTTTCTGTAACCAAATGAACTAAATATCCTTTTCTCCTATGTGAAATACATTGATGTTGAAATAAAATATTGTTGATCATACATACCGTGCACTGCATCACAGTAACTACATCGTAGGCATTTAGTTTTATAATTGTCTTTATCCATATAATCTTTACCCTCTGTGCAAGGTTTGCAATTGGTTTTAGGATTGCTTCTGCAATCTAACAATTTGACAACAGAACCTGTAAAAGAAAATGTTTCAGAAAAGGACAGTAAAACCCTTCTGATTAGGAACATGGCAGATTTAGGCCAGGGGAGACATTTGAAACATTGAGAGCATCCTATACAAATTTTCATAGATTAGTTACTGTGAAATCCATAGGTAACCACAAATGGTACTATTATTGATGGGACTGCTCCATCCACTAGTCCATCAACAGGACTTCTGTGCTATCAGCTTACATATTATGTGTTTCAGCCCTATGAGGAAAATCAGATGAGCAAACTGATTATTATTATTATTTACTTTATTCACTTTACTTTACTCCCCCCCTCCCAATAGTTATGTCAGGTGTGTTGTGGCCCAGTTATCTGTCTGTTTGGATTCAAAAGTCCCACAAAATCTTGACCTTTTCAAGAACTTTGTCAATTTGGTGTTCCCAATAATTTTTGTCGCATTGGAGCACAAACCTCTGGCCAAGCTTCCAACGTATCATTTTGGCAAATCGATCATGACGTTGTAGATAATCAGTTTGTGAGATTAGTTTTGTTGTCTTTTGATTCAAGTTATCAAGTTCTAGCTGATTTCATCTTCAATTCGATTCACAGTCTGGGACTGGTAAAAACTTAACAGTTCAAGTCCTAACCAAGGACCTAAGAGCTAATAAGGTAGCAACTGATAACAACTAGTACTACTACTACAACAATATTCTATGCCACTTATCTCACTGATATAATGACATTGGGTAGATTATTCTTTATCAAGATAGTTATGGTTACAGAATCTTGCAAGTCCTGCCTATGTTTTCCCTGCCTTTTGTGTCTTATGACCCAAGGAGTTGGGCAGTAGTCAGTCTGAATCATCACAGTGTAGGAGTTATGGTGCAGAGCTAGGTGTGGAAAGACCTAGATTTCCCTTAGGCACAGAAACTATCTAGGTGACTTCGGCACAGTCATCCTCCTCTCTTACCCTTAGACTGAGAAATTACAACAGCTTGTGGGTATATTTTCAAAAGGGAGGAACAGCTCAATGCTTAAATTAGAGATATCTCAGCCCATGGAAGGAACGGAGGTGTGGAAAACATCTCAGAAGGGACTTTCCCTGGTTCTCTGCAAAGTATAGGCAAGGCGAGAGAGATATGCTTTCAGATTTGCAAGATTCTGTTACTGTAACTTTACAATAAAGGTAGTATTAGTACTCATGGTATTGATTCCCTATCTGGACTACCTCAAAAGGCTGTCAGAAGTTGAAAAAACATCTGTCTACCAACTTGCAATGGACTAGGATGGTAGACTATGATCAATGAGCCTTTCAGTGGCCTTCATTTTTGCAGTGGATTAATTCAGGCTGTTATCATTCATTCATTCATTCATTCATTCATTCATTCATTCATTCATTCATTTCCTGGTCTGCTCTGCTTAGAAAAAATACCCATGTTTTTCCTTTTCTAAACATGCCTCTACTGGGGTTTAATCTGAGACTCAGAGGCATTCTGGGAAATGAAAATGATACCTCAAACCAGCGCCCGGCCTTCCACACATGCACTTTGCTTGTGTGTATGCCTTTCGTGCATGCGCCCAGCCTCAAAAACATGGCTAAATAGGATGGTATTACGCCAGGGCAGGTGGACGGGCAGGCCCACCCGCATTCATCGCTACCGATTCGCCCGAACCAGTCCGAACCAGCTGAATACCACCTCTGCCTCAAAATAATACATTGTTTAGTACTGGCTTCCCATTTATTATTTTAAGAACATGCATTTGAAAGAAATAACATTATTAATAATTAATATTAAATATTAAATTAATTAAATTAAAATTAAATATTAATAAATAATGTAGAGAAATGGAGTTTTGCAAGCCTCAAGTGAGAGTACAAGTCCAAGAACATCCCCTTCTTGACCATTTTGGATTTCCTGACTCACTTGGATCTATGCACAATCATCAAATGGAATACATTGTTGGAAGAAGGCTTATTAAATACATGGGGCTTAAACAGCTTACTTGTTAGTATTTGACCACATGACTAAGTTTGCAAAAGTAGATTTACCTATATATTTTCTTTTAAGAAGATTATGGGAATGACACTTTATATACTAGGATGAAAAGTGGGTATGATGATCTCACTTACTTACTACTCTCATTTCCTTGTCAGGAGATGGAATGTGACAATTTGCTGCAGCCAACACGCTGTGGGCAAGTCGTTATGGGCAACTTGCTGTGGCTAACTTGCCATGGCCAACTCAACACAGCCAACTCACCATGGCCAATTCAACACAGCCAACTCATCATGGCCAACTCAACACAGCCAACTCCCCATAGGACAATTTAACAATTGAATTTAACTATTTAAAATTATTTAAAATAAATAAAAATTCTTTTAATTTTTGCCATTCACATTTCATTCTGTCCTTCCTTTTGCATCCTTCCTTTAATGATTCTATTCCACCATTTCTTTGATATTAGCATAATTCTTGTCTCGCAGCAAGTTACCCCGTGGCGAGTTGACCATGGCAAGTTGGCTGCAGGAAATGGTCTTAGACCTGTGAGGAGAACAGAAAAGGGGGAAAAATGCTGCCAGTAGCATGTTTCCCTCTCCATCTTTACATTCCGTTCACAGCACTACATATTCATGTTGTGTGTTAATGTTTCAGTGTTTTAGGAAAGTCTTTGGTTTTCTTCTTAAGGAGAAGTTTTCTTCTTAAGAATCACTTCTTAAGGAGCGATTCCTCAAAAGCAGTTCAACTTCCACTTCAAGAAAAAACAAGCATAGGCAGTCAGGTTGAGTTATTCAGAGTCATCTCTGAAGCAATGCCACACTGCCTTCAGTCAGAATGAGAGATTGCCTGCATGAATGAATAGCATAAAGGAGTACTGGGGGACTAGGGGGGTAGACAATAAAGATGGCAGTTGCGACATCAAAGCCCTGAGCCACCTTGAATATTTTGAGACACATTTCACCTGTAGTGTATCAGTCAAAGCTCAGGAGAAAGAGAGATATGGAGCTGCTGCAGTTCTCTGTAATGGTCAAATGTTCTGATGCCCTGAGGAAACACCTTAATAATAGTCACTAAATAGACCAGGATAATGCTGGTGGGGGATGCTTTTCTTCCACTGCTATAAAGAGAAAGAATGAGAAGAGAGAGCTCTTTTCATCAAGAAGGCCAGTCTTCTAGTTAACATAACCAAAACCACACGGCAGACTTCTCATTGTGCAAAGTACATCATTGTGATACCGTTCAGCCTTCAGGCCATCTAGACGCCACCACGTGCTCTCCGGGATCTTCGCTAGAAACTTGGCTACGGCTAAAATTGAATTTCCAAGTTTTTGTCCTTAAAGTAACTTCGGCTATGTTATTATTTTAAAAGGTTTTTTTTTTCTGCGAGCTGCCTGAAACTATAGAAAAGTCAAAAAGCACAGCTTCCTTATTCCTGTGTCATTATGTACTTTCTTCCAGTCCCTGAGGCAATAGAAAAATATTGCAACACACTTTGTGTGTTGTGTGCTGTGCTCGCTAGACCAAACCCTATCCTGCCTCAGTGACTAAGTCGATCATGGGTGTGTGGCTCTTATAGATGCAATAGGGCTCAACTTGAGGAAAGTGATGGGTGGGGCCTCCAAATATTATCTGCTGGCAGGAAAACTACAGCAGAAGGGATGACTACTCCATTTGTTGACTGAAAATAGAAGATTCCTTGTAATTATGAGCCATGGAGGGAATTTTAACTTCCATTCTACTAAGCAGAAATGCATTTCAACTGTTGAGACCCAACCTGGCAAGATCTGAAATGAAGAAGGCAAGGTAGAAGTACATAGGGGTAGCCCTATGTTTTTTTTCTATTTTAGCTCTTCCACTTGGTGAAAAATATGTTAACAAGGCTTTTGTAGCCCAATGGAATAAATAGAGGGTATGGATGAGGTCTGAATGCTACTGGAATATAGTTTCATTAGGATTCTGCTCCAGCTAGAATGGTGTTTCTCAACCTTGGCTGCTTGAAGAAGTGTGGACTTCTTCAAGCAACTAATTCTGCAACCAGCCTGGAAAAATTGAGAGTTTCCGCAATCCCAGAGAGGTGGAATGCATCATGTCATTTTGCAACCCATCACTAGGACCCATGCTTTAAACTTGGCAACTTGAAAGTGTTGGGTTTCAACTTCTACAATATGAAGCCAATATGGAGAAACACCAAACTAGACAATGATGCATTGATAGATCAGAAAAGGAGACTGGCCTGCTCATCTTTGCAGTGGGGACCTACTGCTGTTGGTGATCTCTGCCTTCCAACTAATTTCATGCATTCTCAAAAGCACTTCTGAACCATCCTAAAATGAGCACACCTTAATAGCAAAATCATCACAAAATCCAGATTTCATCTCACCTTTCCATAGTGACATTAATCTTTTTTTTTCTATTTCTCTATGATAATACTTACCAGGCTTACAAAGGTCACAACAGACACGATTGATTTCATATTGCCCTCTGGGACAGCCCTGGTTAGTGTGAACAGAACCACTGTGTAAGGATCTGGCAGCCGTTAAATCAAGAATCTGTAACGGAGAGGAAAACAAAGTATTATTGCATTGTGGCTTTTAGTCTTAGAGACTATTAGAGGTGATTAGTGCTGTGTTACTAATTGTACTCTGTGTCAACTTACCTCTAAAGTTATTTTGGAATTCCTTAGCAGAGACTAAGTCAAGAGCCTTGGTACTACAGTGGTTTAAAGCACCCTGTTATTAACACAGCTGCCTGCAATTTACTGCTGGTTCGAATCTCTCCAAGGCTTAAGGTTGACTCAGCCTTCCATCCTTTCTAAGGTAGGTTAAATGAGGACCCAGTTTGTGGGGGCAATAAGCTGACTTTGTATAAATATACAAAAGTATGAAGGCTATTGCTTAACGCACTGTAAGCCGCCCTGAGTCTCCGGAGAAGGGCGGCATATAAATCAAATTTAAAAAAAATAAAAAATAAAAAAACAGAAAAAACGAATGATGTGAGCAGATGATAAGAACACTGAAAGAAATAAGATCAGAGGTGGGTTTCAGCAGGTTCTGACCAGTTCTGGAGAACCGGTAGCAGAAATTTTGAGTAGTTCGGAGAACTGGTAAATACCACCTCTGACTGGCCCCGCCCCCATCTATTCTCTGCTTCCCAAGTCCCAGCTGATCGGGAGGAAATGGAGATTTTACAGTAACCTTCCCCTGGAGTGGGGAGGGAATGGAGATTTTACAGTATCCTTCCCCTGCCATGCCCAGCAAGCCATGCCCACCAAGCCATGCCATGCCCACCAAGCCATGCCCACAGAATTTGTAGTAAAAAAAATTTTTTTGAATTTTTTTTATTTTTAAACAAAATATAAAACATAAATCCATCATCCATTACAATTGCTATCAGTGTGTCGGTGGGTTACAAGTCTTTTTTGCTTCATCCCCATATTCAAAATTTACTAACTATCTAATTTCTCATATTATCAAACAAATAAATATCCTCATTTATTATTTATTTAAATATGGCTTTATTGCTTCATAAAAATTATTTTCAAATATTATATTTATAATGTTCATTTCATGTTTCATATTTCATTTCCATGTTTTATTATCTAGCCATTGATAAAATAAATCCCATATCTTATAATATTGTTTATCTCCTTGTTCTCTAATTTCAAATGTCAATTTAATCATTTCAGCACATTCCATGATTTTCTTAATAACTTCATCTTGCGTTGGTATTTTCTCATTTTTCCAGTTTTTAGCAAGGTAATAAAAATTTTTGAATCCCACCATTGAATAGGATGATGGCTACAATGGTTCTGGTGGCACTATTTCATTTATTTATTTCAATTTCCAGGCTGCTCACTTCCAAAATATCTCTGGGCACCTTCACAAGTTAAAAGACAATAACTATCCCAAGAACAGAAACATGCTTCAATACCATTTTCCAGGTTAAAGGGAACTACCAGAATATACAAGTATATAAAAGCTATGCTAATTTGTGGATTGGGGGGGGGGACTCTCAATTTCTGATGTAATTCTGAGAGCCCACCTCTTTTTGCTGTACAGAATAGACAGCTTGCAATTTCCTGTCTTCTGTGATAATAGCACCAGGGGTGGGGGGTGGGGGGAATCCAGCATTTGGCTGTGCCAATTCATGGTTTGGCCATCGATTTGCCATACATGTAGCACCCAAAAAGTGTCAAACTCAGGAAATCAGGAGTCCAGGCGGTTCAAATGGATATAGGTTTATTGTGTGTTAATGCTCTCTACAAAAGTCTGAACTACTAATGGTCAAAGCCAATTGGCAGTTGATAAAAGTCAGGGGATTTCAAGCTGGGCTGGACTTAGATCTCTTTGCACGAGGGATTCGAGGCTCATGATGCATTTGACCCCTCCCTCAGATCCAGCTTGGTCATCTCCTATATCAGCGCCCAAGGAACAGATAGGTTGGTAACTCCTGACATATGAGGATAGTCAGTCTCTAGGACAGGGATCAGCAACCTGCGGCTCTGGAGCCGCATGTGGCTCTTTCATCCCTCTGAAAGCTCCCTGTCGCTCAAAATATGAGTCACAACTGCCATTGTGGGATATTTGCCAGCACACAATTTATTGAGCTTTTCGACTTCCAGTATGCCAAGCATGGATAAACCCAAGAAAAGAAAAGTTTCAGAAGAAAACAGAATGTTTAATTCAACTACATATGCTAGTTTTGTGGCCACTCAGGAAATAGTCAGGTTTTGTGGCTCCTGGTGTTTTCTTTTGTTTGGGAAACAGGTCCAAATGGCTCTTTGAGTGTTTAAGGTTGCTGACCCTGGCTCTAGGATATTCTGAATGGCTCACTGTGGAGACCAATAATGAACCTTATAAACAAGGACCAGTTTTAGTTCTTAAGTAGTATGGCTGTGCATATCCTTATACAAAAAGTGCTTCAGCATATGCAGAGCACATATGAAGAATTGGTTTCTGAATCATTAAAGCAACTGCATCTTTCCCCAGGATGATGTGGCGGCTTCGGAAACGATCTCCAGCTACCTCCATGATTGCTCCAGGGGTGGAAATATAATGGAAATAGTTGTGCATTCAATATCAACCAGAAACAGTTTCCCAGTAGCAACAGCCTGGGGGAAAAAAAGATCTGGCTGTTTTAATTATTTGAAAAGAAATGTCAAACATTTCTTCCCAAGGGTTTGCACAATCCTCCTTCATAAATCCCATGTCTCTTGCCACCTGGTCTAGAAATACATGATTTAATTCTCCCATGCATTCTCCTTTCTGATCTTTGTATTTTAAATCCAGCAGTATTGGAGGTAGGTAAATGTACGCAACATATTCTGTCACAAATTCATCCCTCTGGGATGTCTGGTCCCAAATATGATTAAAGTATGAAGATAATGGCCATACCAGTGTGATGGAAGCAGGAGTGAGCTTCAAAAATTTTAGCAAGGGGTTCTCTGCCTGGTTGCTGGGTGGCCGTGGCCATGGTGGGTGTGGCCAAGTCAGCCTCCTGCATCACGGTGGAGTGTGTCTGTTTTTGCCCTCCCTGGGCTCCGGAGGCTTTTCTCAAACCTCCGGGAGGGTGAAAACAGCCTCCCCAGGCTCCAGAGGCCCTCTGGAGGCAAGAAACGGGTCCGTTTCTGGCTTTCCCAAACTTTTGGTAGGCCCATTTTTCACCCTCAGTGAGCCTCCGCATGTGCCCTGCACTTATCTTCATCCAAAATGGTCTGCGTGGAGACTCCTGGGAGGGGCGAGGTAGGGTGGCCAGGACCACCCAGGAATGGGATTTGGGGGTTCTCCGAACTGCACAGAATTTTAGCTAGAGGTTCTCCTGAACCCTTTGAACCCCTGGATGGAAGCTTAGTCATTTTTTTTTTCTATTCCTAGCACCATCATGGACACTATCAGTCAACAGGCCTAATACAGAATTCCCTTTTCTTTTATTCAATTAAACACGATTTCTTTTATTTTCTGATGTAAGGGGAAGTTAAGCTGAGAACTGTTCAGGTATAAGAGTTTTCCCTCCCACAGAATGTCAGGTAATTTGTTAGGATAGGGGTATGTTACCTCAAAGCATGGAGGAGTTGGGTAGATAGAAATGCATTTCTGAATACTACACTGCTCCTCTGAATAGAAACCTCCTTTTTCATTTAAAAAAAAAAAAAGAGCTTCCCTGGTGTGCTACTTTGTTTAACTGCAGGGACTTTTTCACATGAAAGTTTCACATTTGAAATTAGAATTGGTTGTCCAGAAACCGCTAAAATAAGATGAAGAATCTGAACCACTCAACTGAAAAAGATGCAGAGGTAACTTTCAACTTGAATTTAACAGCACATCATCAGAACTGGTATTGATCATTTTTTATACCTTTCCTATCTAATGACTTTTTTTTTTAAAGGAAATTAGCATGGTAAGTAATTATAAAGACCTTTGAAATTTTATAGCTTTGAATATTCTGTGCAGACAGAATGGGCAAGCACCTTAAACAGGAACCTACAATATTGTCCTGCTTCCGAAAGATATTTTCCCAGGATGCAGGATAATTTAAAAAGTTCCTGTTTATAAGAATGAACTTGAATGACCACTTAAATTATTGCAGTTGAAATATTCTGAGGTTTTAACTTCCCAGTCAATCGGAAATTGTCAAATGATTTTAGTTTGCGGTCCATTGAGGAAATAAAGGCATTCTTTTATATATTGCCTATATCTGACAGTGTGTCAATTTCTATTTCTACAATTCAAAGAGAAAATGCTTTCATACCTCTTTTTGAACTGAACTACATGCAGACTTTCTTTTCCACTTAAAAAATAGAATAGAATAAAATGCAACATGGTTTTTGTGTAAAGTTACTCCTCTTGTTAAAAGCAACAGACAGAATAATTTCAGCTACATAACAATAGGTCAAAGTCTCAAAGATGTTTTTTTTTTTTTTTGTCCTTCAAAAAGCAACTGGACTGGGGTTGTTTGTTTGTTTTTTGGTTCCTTGAGAAAGAAAAAGAAAATGTTTCGTTTCTCATGTGAGAAGCTTCATTAGTTGTGATGGCGGAGGTGGGGTGGATGGAAGTATAGGTTTTATTGACAGTTGGGATTGAAATGGAAGGATTGCAACCCCCACTCCATTCAGTCAGAACCTGTCCTATATGTGGAGACTCTAGAAAGAGTTGAGAGAAGAGCAACAAAGATGATTAGGGAACTGGAGGCTAAAACATATGAAGAACGGCTGCAGGAACTGGGTACCTCTAGTTTAATGAAAAGAAGGACTAGGGGAGGCATGATAGCAATGTTCCAATATCTCAGGGGCTGCCACAGACAAGAGGGAGTGAAGCTATTCTCCAAAGCATTTGGAGCAATGGGTGGAAATAATCAAGGTGATAACCAACCTAGAACTAAGGAGAGATTTCCTGACAGTTAGAACAATTAATCAGTGGAACAACTTGCCTCCAGAAGTTGTGAATGCTTTTTAAGAAAGGTTTTAAGAACAGATTAGACAACCATTTGTTGAAAATGATACAGGGTTTCCTGCCTAGGCAGGGGGTTGGACTAGAAGGCCTCCAAGGTCCCTTCCAACTCTGTTAGTCTATTCTATTCTATCCTTCCAGCCCTCCACCATCCAGTCTCAACCTTCAGTACCTATCCTTCCACCACCACCCCTCCGCAATCAGAACTGATGAAGCTTCTTGAATGAGAAGCGAAACGTTTACTTCTTCTCCCTCAAGGAGAAAAACAGTCCGGTTGCCTTTTGAAGAAGTGGGGGAAAAGCACCTTTGAGACAACTGTGACCGGGATGTCTGAGAACCTCCACAGACAGACAGGTCAAAATGAGCAACTGAATTTCTGCTACCAAAAAATACCCCTTAGGTGAACCCTTTAAGGTAGAAAGCTCTACGTATGGATAAATACTTACAGGATAGATGATTAAGAAAAGCAGCAGCTGCAACATGTTTTCAGGCTAGCTCTTAAACTAAAGTGAAAGCAAAACAAGGAACTGTGTTACCAGAAAGAAATCTTTATTTTTATTGATGTAAAAGACTGAATAAGGAAACACCCTCTTTTTTTTCAGTGCTTCTAGGGGAGGGAAATTCCATCTGAAACAAATTACTGCTCAACATCAATGCAAACAAAGGAATTCACCCATGTACCTAGCAAAGAAAGAGGTTTCCAGTTTCCATAATTACAGTTAGTCCTCACACTTACAACAGTGTATTTAGTGACTGTTCAAAGTTACAATGGCACTGAAAAGAGTGCCTTATGACCGTTTTTTCACACTTATGACCACTGTAGCATCTTTATTTTATTTATTTATTTATTTATTTATTTATTTATTTATTTATTTATTTATTTATTTATTTACTTTGTATACCGGCCTTCTCCAACAGGACTCAGGGCGGTGAACAGCCACGGTAAAAACATAACATATAAAATTTAAAAGCAATTTAAAAAACATTAAATAATTTTGGCCATCAATTTAAAATAACCCAGTTAAAACCAATTATAAATTTAAAATCGCAAGGATGGGGTCAAGCCAGCCCGGCTAGATGAAATAGATGTGTTTTCAGGGCCTGACGAAAAGTCCGGAGGTCTGGTATCGTGCGTATCTCTGGGGGTAGGTTGTTCCAGAGGGCAGGTGCCGCCACAGAAAAGGCTCTCCCCCTGGGGGTCGCCAGCCGACATTGTCTGTCCGACGGCACCCTGAGGAGACCCTCTCTGTGCGAGCGAACTGGCCAGTGGGAGGCTATTGGCGGCAGAAGGCGGTCTCGTAGATACCCCGGCTCTAAGCCATGGAGCACTTTAAAGGTGGTCACCAAAACCTTGAAGCGCACCCGAAAGACCACAGGAAGCCAGTGCAGCTCGTGCAGGAGAGGTGTCACATGGGAGCACCCCGTCGCTCCCATAATCCCCCACGCAGCTGCATTCTGGACGCATTCTATTTATTTGTCAAATACATATAAGGTAACAGATATAAGTATAAACATGATTATGAATACAGGATAAGGATATAAATAAATGGGAACAGTAGGACAGGGACGGTAGGCATGTTGGTACGCTTATGCACGCCCTTACAGACCTCTTAGGAATGGGGTGAGGTCAACAGTAGACGGTCTAAGGTTAAAGTTATGGGGGTTTGGGGAAATAACCACAGTAATAATCCCCATGTAACAGTTCCCGTGGTCACATAATCAAAATTCAGATGCTTGACAACTAACTCATATTTATGATAGTTGCAGTGTCCCTGGGGCTCATGTGATTCCCTTTTGCAACCTTCTGACAAGCAAACTCAGTGGGGGGAAAGCCAGATTTGCTTAACAACCGCGTTACTCACTTAAGAACTGCAGTGATTCGCTTAACAATTCTGGCAAGAAAATGAGGCAAACATCGTAAAATGAGGCAAAATTCACTTTGAAATGTTTCCACTTAGCAACATAAATTTTGGGCTCAATTGTGGGAGTAAGTGGAGAACTACCTGTAATATATTGTAGAAGGCATAAGAAGGACAAGAGAAAAAGGTGCCACTAAGGCAATACTCAAGATGACAAGACTTTGAACTTATTCCAAGAAAGAAGATTTATTTAATAAAAATTTTATTCCCCCTCCCCTCACTCTCAGTGATTCCGGGCGGCTTACAAAAAAATTGAATAAAGGGATCAGACAGACCCCTCCCTAATTCACACGCAAATAAGCACATTCAGATTTGCAAGATTCTGTTATTACACTTGTTGCAATAAACATAGTCCTGACCTATATGACACTGGTTTCCTTTAGACCAGGGGTCTGCAACCTTAAACACTCAAAGAGCCATTTGGACTCCTTTCCCACAGAAAAGAAAACATCGGGAACCACAAAACCTTTCCCGTGCCTGACTATTTCTTGAGCGGCCACAAAACTAGCATATGTAGTTGAATTAAAAGTTTTCTTTTCTTCTGAAACTGTTCTTTTCTTGGATTTATCCATGATTGGCCTACCGGGGGGGTTGAAAAGCTCAATAAATCGCGTACCAGCGGGTGTCACATATTGGTGGTTGTGACGTATAGTTTGAGTGACAGGGAGCCGCAGCAGAGAGGTGAAAGAGCCACATGCGGCTCCAGAGCCACAGGTTGCTGACCTCTGCTTTAGACTAATCTACCTTATAAGAACTGATCAGTACAGGGGGTGGTTATAGCTTAGCAAGATTTAAGGGAAAAAAAATTGGAATAATGAACTCATCACCCAGAACACTGATGCTATATGGAAAGTTGGGTAAAACTGTTCACCTGTTGGCTGAGGAACTCTGAGAGTTGAAGTCCACAAGTCTTAAAGTTGCCAAGGTTGGAGACCCCAGATTTACAGTACAAATGCAAGAGAACAGAGATATTTTTACAGTTCCATATCATGCCACTAGAGGGCCATATACATCACTGCACAAAATGAATATGTAACAAAAAAAATATGGCCTTTTAAATTGAAGGGTTTGACAGAAAACCAGCAGATTTGGAGTCCGTTCTCCAAATTATTATTGACTTAATTTTGGCTTAGCAACTTTTGTGAACACAGCCCCAATGGTTATGGTTTCATGACTTAAAGCTAGATTTGGATCCAGTCTTAGTTGTTGTTAACAGAATTTGTCTTTTGGGGGACTTATTTATAATTGAAGGAGGGTAAGTTTTTCCAATTTTCACAGGAATAAGAGAGACTTGAGAGCCTCTATTCCAGTAAAAATATCTGAAGAATGGGATAAATATGAAATTCTACCACTGATGTGAAAAATCGTTTTCAATTTGTCATCGTTAGCATCCAATGGGCAGATATATTTTAAACATTCCATAGAAAGAGAGCCAGTTTGGTGGTGTGGTTAAGGTATCCAGCTGAAAACACAGAGCCCATGAGCTGTAGTCCTGCCTTGAGCACAAAGCCAGCTGGGTGACTTTGGCCCAGTCACTCTCTCCCAGCCCTGGGAAAAGGGCAACGGCAAACCACTCCTGAAAAATATTGCCAAGAAAACTGCAGGGACTAGTCTGGTCAGTTCCCAAGTGTCAAAAAACTGGCAGGCAGGCAGGCAGGCAGGCAGTGAAGGGAAGGAAGGAAAGAAGGAAAGGAAGGAAGGAAGAAAGGAAGGAAGGAAAAGAGAGCGAGAAAGAAACAGAGAAAGAGAGAGATGACAGAAAGAAAGAAAGAGAGACAGAGAGACAGAGAAAGAGAGAAAGAATGAATGAAAAGAAGAAAAAGAAAGGAAGGGAAGGGAAGGGAAGGGAAGGGAAGGGAAGGAAGGCGAGAGGGGGAGGGAAGAAAGAAGAAGGAAGGAAGGGAGAAGGAAGAAAGGAAAGAAAGAGAGAATGAAAGATAGATGATAGATTAGATAGGTAGATAGATAGATAGATAGATAGATAGATAGATAGATAGATAGATAGATAGATGATAGATAGATAAAAAACTGACACTGGCATGTTTCAGAAACTGATTATGACATAGAAATAATGCTATTAAATTAAATTAAATAATGCATATTTCCAGTTGGTTAAACTGAGACTAAGGTTATATGATCTAATCTAGATAATGCCAGGGAGGATGGACTTTAGTTCTTCTTACAAAACATACTTTTCCTTTGCTTCTGTCAGCAAAGAGATACAGCTTTTTGGCTCAAGCTGTGTCCCTCAAACAGGGTCAAAACTGTGACATATAGCTAAAGCTTCATTCTCTCTTTGTGGGTCTGTTGAGATTTACTTACTAGGACATTTTTGTCAGTTCACCAGGAAGTTCGTGCTGGATCACAAACAAGAATAATCTGAATCAGAAGAGGACATCTGATAAGACCCTGTTGAAGTTAAGAAGGGAAGCTGGCTCTGTCTTCTTCAAATGGATCTATTGCCTTCTCTCTGACTGAAAACATCTTTGGATGCATTTTAAGAAGAGTTTGAAAATGTATTTAATAAAACAGACTGATTGGTGGGATGGGTTGTGAGCAGATTCTGAGAATAACAGAAGGGCTCTCGAGCGCCAGGGAAATCAGAAAACCCAGGCAGTTCAAATAAGTATAAGGAATCTTCCATGTTTGCACTTGGGATCAGCATCAACTTTTTGTGCATGCCATAACTATTTCTCTACAACTGTAACTCTCAAAATGAGTAAGCTATAAGTCTTATGCTAATTATTAATAAATATATGCCTCAAAAACAACAACAACAAATAAGCATAAAGAATCTGAACTACTAACAGTCAAAGCAAATTGGCAGTAGATAAGAGTCAATGGAATTCAAGATGGTCTGGTCTTAGATCCCTTGTGGGTGCGAAGGGACTCCAGACTGATGATGCACTTGTCTTGACCCCTCCTTCCGACTCAGTCTGGTCATCTCCTACAAAGCTATATTGCGGTATCAAATTAGTAAAGTTAGGTGGTAGGTAGAGGTTCAGGATTTTATAGTTATATAAATGTTATTTTTTATTGAGATTGTAAACGGCATATCTTTAATTTATTGGCTTTTTTAAAAAACGGTATTCAGTTTTTATTTGCTGGGTTTTTATTGCATTGAGGCTGTATTGTAAGTCAACATTTTTGTTTTAAACGCTGTAATATTGATAAGAAAGAAAGGCCAAGAACTCTTCCTTACGGCTGTGTCTTTCCTGATGCCAAGCTCTGTTCTGCCTCAGTGACAGGGGTTGGCAAGTGACACTGTACTGACAGTTTTAATTTGACCTAAGGACAGTCATTGAAGTTCCTTTCCCCTCCCACCCAGTTTCACCTGCCAGTGAGAAAAACTATTAATCATTCTCCTTAATGTATGGTTAGATGTGATTGGGTGATTGTGATTGGGGGTTGGTTTTCTTTCAAACTGACAGGGTAGAATAGAATAGAATAGAATAGAATAGAATAGAATAGAATAGAATAGAATAGAGTAGAGTAGAGTAGAGTAGAGCAGAGCAGAGCAGAGCAGAGTAGAGTAGAGTAGAGTAGAGCAGAGCAGAGCAGAGCAGAGCAGAACAGAACAGAACAGAACAGAACA